CAAAGTGGTGCGTAATTCTGTCAGTCTTTCTTTTTCAATCTTGAAAAAATAATCCCTTTAATATTGTTAGTACAGTAGTCAAACATTTTGTTACAATTCAATATCTGGTCATTTATGGGCCTTTGTAGATTTGCGTTTGTAGTTAATTGTTTTACAATGCCACCAATACCATCACATGATGACTTACCATGACTTGTAGCAAAAAATGTCCACTCTGCATCAATGTCAAAATCATTTTTATGGAAACAGATATTGTAAAGGTTTTTGTGGTTTTTATACTGTGCAGCACAACCATCAGAAAAATAAAGAATCTTTGAAATTTTAGGATGATATTCTTTTAAATAGTTAACTATTTGTGTTTGAACTTCATACACAAAGCCAGTGTCATGCTCATTATCTTCTGACATGAAGCAAAATGATTTTTCTTCAAGTTGGTCATTTTTGTTTAATAAAGAGGGCAATGGGGTGCAATGTGCATTGACTTTTGCACCAATGGTAACTTTGGATTTCATCTTGAATCACAAAAGTGAAGTTTTCTGCAAAGTCAACTAAGACAATACAGCAGTTTTTTGCTAAATTTTCTTTTTGTTGCTTTAGGTATGTTGATTGACATTTTGCAATGTAGGAATGGGCTGTTAACTTGTTTATTGCCTCTGATAGCATTAATTTGTATTCTTCAATTGTTGTTGTCTGATAGATCAATGTTGTTCTGTCTGTTTTCTGCCACTGATTAAATGACACCTCCACGTCATTGTCATTGTCAATTAGTTGTGCATCCAGAAACTTCTTTAAAGAAACTATACCTGGACAGTTTGGACATCGATGAACCATGCACTCGTTACTTGTCACATCACAAACAACTTATCTTTATCATCATATCTTTGTAAGTCATCATATCTTTGTAAGTACATTTCATTTGTATAGCATTGGTCAAGAGTATTGCATTTTGATGGAGGGTACATACACAAACAAAATGAGTGCCTGATGCTCCAACAGTTATACACCATTTTGGTCTTAAACTGCAAAACTTAGAAAATCCAATAACTTCTTGAGTATATTTAGTTTTAAAAGAAACATAAAGTTCTATAACATTACATAAAATAAGGCGCTTTTGCATGTGTTATTTTCTACCAATACTTATGTAATCTTTTTTCCAGGCATTTGTCTAGTAAATTCTTCATCATGGTATATATTGTTGACTCTATTTAATGTTATTTCTGAAAATGTTTTTCCTTTCTTAGTGCCTGGAACTGAAAAAATCCCACTTATTTTCTTCAGTTTGCACGGTTCTTTAATTTGGTATATAATGACGTTGAAATATCTTGCAGCAAAATTTCTTGACCAAGACTCGGTAAATGTAACAACTGAATTTTAGTTTTTTGGTCAGAAACAATTAACTTTGCTTTTATTTCTGCTGTTAGTTAGTCTGCTGTCTAAATCATCACATTTACTTTTGTCAATAATTTTCGTATGAGGAATTTTATGTTCAGTTCTTCTTCCCTAACATTATATACTTTTGAAATATGCTCTTCATACTTTGACATTATTTTTATAACTTTACTTTTAGCAACAGATAGCCGTTGATGCTTTGGAATGTCATGAAGTTTTATGGGGGATACACCTATTGTTTCCAAACTAACATTTAATGCCTCATGTGACTTTTCAGAAGTAGCACATGAAATAGGTTCCTTAAATTCAAATTCATTATATTGTTCATGAAATTTACTGATTATAGCATCAAAGCAGCTTCGTCAAAGTTGATATCCAGGCACAACATTTGGAAAATTAATTCTCAATTGTTTTGCCATGTCTAATGTTATTACATGACTCCCTGAAAAGAAAAGAACAATTTGATTTTAGTAATTACCTATGAATATGAAAATTATTTGTAGTTATTTCAATATATATTGCATAACCAGATCAGCTTTTTTTCAAACTTTTATAAACTAGTAGATTTTAATTTCATTATTCAAAAAAGATTTTACAATAATTTTTTATCGACAATATTTACCTTTGATTGCTTTTTTTTTTGATTTATGCTTGTCCAATAATTTACAACATTTTGTGTGCTTCTTTTCAAAGTGTGTACCAAAAATCTTTTCATGATAAAGGCAGACTGTTCAAATTTTATCATCTGTTATTCCAGATCTCCAAATAAATTCTTCTCTGGCATCTTCTCTATAGCAATCAAATTTCTTTAAATCAATTTTTCTACAATAACTTAGTTTATGACAAGTATCTTTTAATTTTTTTCCAAAATCACATGAATCCATTCTTACTGTAACACTAAAAACATTTTGAGATTAATTTAAAAATGAGAAACCAATAGTAATTAATTCAATGAAAGCAACTTAAACAATCACCATGGTAATACAAGACTAAACAGTGATTAATTTCTTTGATCTTACTTTGACAAAAAGAAAGTTTCCATTTCACAAAGTTTAATAATAATCAATTTTTAAATGTTAAAATTGTTAATGTTGACTTTAATAAGTAACAAATTTCTTCTATACTAGTGTAATGACAGGATGTTTTTTGTTACTGTGAATAGTTCTTATTTAATAAAATAACTTGCTGTTAACATTTTAGAATTAGCAAATATCAAATAAAAAAATGATTTTGAAAAATTGATAAATTTCTTTTTTTTTTTATGTAATGTTATGACAAGATGTTTTTTTCTGTTGGAAGTTAGTTAAACAACTTGCTGTTACCATTTTAGCATTAAAATATATTATTCTTTTTTAATTAAAATTTTAAATTATACAAAATAAAATTCTGTTAAAACCATTATTTTAGACTGTTTTTAATCTTATACATGCAAATCAAAATTCTTATAAACATTAACTTTCTTAAAACATTTTAAGAAAGATCATTGAACATAGAATGATCAAAAACCAAATTGAACAAATATAAATCACAAAAATTTTTGAAGCAATGTTATCAAAGATATGTTTAACGTTATTAAAAATGAAAATCTAAAAAAAAATTTTGAAGACAATAGTTTCAAAGTTATCTTGAACGTGTTAAAGAAAAAAAAAAAAATTTTTTTTTTGAGAAAATAAGTGGGGCATGGTGTCCCCGGTGCCGCATGTTCATCAGGACTACACATATGCTGAAAGTTTCAAAGCTCCCGCTTGTCTGGAAGATACTAAAAAATTTATCTCAAAATTCCGGTCAAAAAAGTAAGGCACATCCCTCCAGCCCCCTCCCCTATTGTCTTGGGCCCTTTTTTAATTTTAAAATGCACATTTATTGACACTACATAAATACCAAAATTTTCATCGTTCCAGCTAGTCTGAAAGGTAGTAAAAAATGTATGGCGAGATTCCACTACAAAATAGTGGAGCCTGTGCCCCGTTAACCATATATGGAAATCCATATATTTGCAGATCAAAATTTTTAAGTTTTCTGAAAGATCATTAAACATAGAATAATGTGTACAATTTTTTTTTTATATCATCAAGGCCACATGGCTTTTTTGAGCATCAAAATCAGGTATATAAAAAATTGCCTAAATTCATTTAAATTGATAATTACAAGTACTTAAAAATATTTTTTTACATTTCTGATTATTTTATTGGATTCTTCGACCCTGAAAATAGCCAGGTACAAATTTTTAAGTCAAAAGATCTAAAATTTTTAAAGATATGTGACTTGGAACCTTTAAACAAAGGTTCCAAGTCACAAGCTTTTTGTTCTGAGAAAACAAGAGGGGCCTGGCCAAGATCAGTTAAAAGTAAAATGATCATATTTCATGATCCTCTTGGAGCTAGAAGCTAAAATTTCTAAGGGTTTTTTGTTTTCCTAAGTACTCTCAACTATATAAAATTCAGCAAAATCTGAGATGTATGGTGACATGGCCTGGCTTAATTGACATGGAAGTACTCTATATGTATATATATATATACTATATATATATATATATATATATATATATATATATATATATATATATATATATATATATATATATATATATATATATATATATATATATATATATATATATATATATATATATAGGTTTTATTCTAGGAAAAAAATTCGGGTGGTGGTACCCCCTCGTTCCGTCAAACTTTAGCAGAAAATTACATATATTTACCATAAAAAATGTAAAAAAAAAAGGAGCTCAAATTTTAATTTGGGTGGCGCCCAAATACGGTCGACGCTGTCTAAAATGGCCTAGAATAGCCCCTGATATATATATATATATATATATATATATATATATATATATATATATATATATATATATATATATATATATATATATATATATATATATATATATGTATATATATATATCAGGACCTATTCTAGGAAAAAGTTTGGGCATCGGTTCTCCCCCGTCCTAGAGAAAGTTAGCGGAAAATCTGCATTTTTTCACAAAAAAAAAAACAATGTTTGCTGTAAAAAAAGTAAAAAAAAAATTTCCTCATATTTTTATTTGGGCAGCCCAAATATGGTCAACGCTGTCGAAAACAATCTAGAATAGCCCCTGTATATATATATATATATATATATATATATATATATATATATATATATATATATATATATATATATATATATATATATATATATATATATATATAAAGATATATATATATAAAGATATATATATATATATATATATATATATATATATATATATATATATATATATATATATAAAGATATATATATATATATATATATATATATATGTATATACATACATATATATATATATAATACTCTCGTAATTAGGGTCTGCATTCGGCAATACAGACCTAACTGCCAACCTAGAAGGATTTAAGGTCGGCAAAATATCACTGATCTCGTTTTTATGATATATGCCATTACATTTGTATCTAATTTTATGTGTTTAATATTTTAATTTATATATTCAAGTTTTTTTCATAAGACAAATAGGATTGAAATTACTTTCTATAATATTTGAAACTATATGCTATAGTATATGCCATTTTATTTATTTTGTTTTGTATTAACCTTTTTAGCATTGCATGACAATTCGTAAAAAGACTATTTAACTGGTTTTAATGAAAACACTGACTGTATGGACACAGTGGAAGATGCCAATTTAATAGCTCATATATGTGTATGTTGAAATAAAAACATTGTTTTTTTTTATATTTATGTATATAATATACAATACATTAATGTGTATATGTGTGTATTTTTCACTACTTTGGATTTTTATATAAATAGACTTGGCAGTTTATTTTTTTGACTAATGTTTGACATTTTAATACTTATTGACAATTGTCTGCAGTCTTCTTTGTTTGTAAATACTACAAGCATTTACAGGCTAGCACGCACAATTTTAAAGCAGTAGTTTTAACTGCTGTTTAGGGTTGTAATCCCATGCTATATTTTTAATCCCAAGATTTCAGGATTACATTTACTTATTCCTGGGATCCTGAATTTAATCCGGGGATTTTTAAATACCTATTCTTGAAGGATTTTAACATATTATTTAAGTAAAGTTTTAATAAAATTAATAACACATTCAAAATATGTTTAGAAAAAACTACATTACAAGGAAATTTTACATTTATTTACATCATTTGTTTAGCTTATTTCCATGCGCTTCAACCCTTTTGAACTCTGTCCCATCTTAATGTTTTCCTGACTCATACAACCTTCAACTTTTTAATTCTTCTGTCAACCGATTCATTGCTCTATAACTCTACTCTTTTTTTCTAGCAACTCCCAACTTGATAGTGGTTGCTTGAAGCCTTATTGGGTGTAAAAAGAATTAAAAATATATAGATAACAATGCCTAAATAGGTTTATTTTTAAAGTTTTTGTCTGTAAACAAAGTCAAAAAAAAAAATATCAAAAAAATTCTAAGTAATGCACTAACTAATTATTATAATAATGCAGGATAAAAGTATTAAAATGCCATCGGTTGGAAAATTGGGAAAAAAGGCCAATGCTGATTCCGATTGTGCAAAAAATGACCGATTAAGCCGATACTGATACCGATTAATCAGTACATCACTAGTATTTTTTATTATTTTTAAAATAAAGTTTGAGAAGGCAGAGCACATTCAAGTTATTACCAAGATGATTTCTTATTTTTGTTGCAAAATGACCAGATGCCGAAAAAGCACGTTATGATTCTACACTGGTATTATACGCTCTTTGCAAAAAAAATACCATTCGTTCTTCCGTTTCCAAACATCAGCATTTCCTTTTGAATTTTTAACGACAGTGTCTTACATGGAATTGGTATGCTGGGCTAATGTGCTTTTTTTATAGCTTTATTAAGTTTATCTGTTGTTTTTTTTTTTGCTCTTGAAAAGAGGAAAAGAAATCAGATGGAGAGTAAGAAGAATGGATCAAGATGGAGAGTAAGAAAAAGACAAAGTAATTAAAACTAAATTTGCGTAACTAATATCAAGTAGTCTAATATTTTTTTAAATAGTATTCAAAATGTCTAAAATGACAAGACTAAAAGCTAGAGCGTATTTATTTGAAGAAGCAAACCTGATAAAAAACTTGCCTCAAAGAACTTTTGCAACAAATAAAGAATTAATTCTTAACTTTTAGTTTAAAAGATCTAGTAACAAGTTAACTCTGTCAAAAAAGTTTATTAGTTGTATTGAAGGGCCCAATAAACTCACAAAGTGGTCTTGTCAATTGCCCTGATAACTATATTCTTTTTACAGTAAAAAAACCTTGGTTAGAAAGAAACTACAAAGATGGATTAACAAATAAATCTATAAAGTAAGTTTTATAATATTCATTTATAATAAAATAGTAAAAATAAATTTTTATAATCCTTTGAACTTAATTAGCTAGCAGATGATTAAGGTTGTTTTTTTAATACCACTCCAATTAATTTTTTTATTTTTTGATTCTTATTATGTATGGGTTTATAGCTAAATATTATAATAACTATAAGATGGTTTGATTAAATAAAATTTCTTATTATTGAAAAATAAAACATATGTAATACAATGAATTGTTATATATGTGTCATAAATATTTTAATTTTATTTAAAATATTATCTTAATTTCTGCAGGAATAGTATCACTTGTTTAATCAATATTAAGAGACATTGAAGATAAGAAAGAGTGAAGACTCTAAAGCAGCAGAGAAATCTAGGGAAGAAATCAAAAAAAAAGGCCGAGCAGGTTTTTTGGATTGGTAAATATAATATTAAGTTAATCTTAAAAAACGAGCCTTTATAAACTTTCATAGTATGCTGATATCAAATTTTTGCCTTGACATAAGGGAGCAAAAACATGAAATATAAAACTGTAAATAAAGAAACGAAACAGTTAAAAAATTTTAATATTAAACAATTACCCCAAGTTGATGAATCAACTACAGAGCTAGAGGTTTTCTCAGACATAAGTGATATTAGTGCAGAATCAGATATTTCTTTTGATTAAGCGCAACCCATCCCAAGTAATCAAGAGTAAACCAATAAATCTTTTCAGGAAAATGCTGAACACTATAAGAAAACTGTTAAAATTGCTACTGGTAGAGCTATTTTTCCCATAATAGCACATTTTGATAATAAAATTGTCAAACATTACAGAAGGTAAAAAAATCAAAAAGAGATTGATTTGCGGTCACAGTAAATATTGATAGTAAAATGAAGCTTCCTGGCATTTCAACTATTGATCCTGGTACTGGACAAGCTTAATATGATGCTTTAGTTAAAATACTAGATGAATATGGAATATCTGATGACGTGAAAGGTTTATGTTTTGATACAACTGCTACAAATACAGAAAGACTTTCTGGAACAAATGTCAGGTTTAGTTGTAAACAAAATGCAGTTCTACTAGAGCTGGCTTGCAGGAGGCATGTTTATGAATTACATCTAACACTTTTGTGAAAAACAGTGCAGTGTAAAAACTAAATCTCCAGAAAACTTAATTTTCAAACAGTTTCAATTAAACTGGAATGACATTAAAAGTAGCATTGACTCTTTAAAGTTTGTAAAATATGATACCCAGTCTATTGCTAACACTTCCTTAGAAATTCTCAGACTCAATGCTAAACGTTTAAAAGATTGAAACCTAAATGAAAACATTTTCCCCAGAAGATATTACAAAGAGCTATTGAAACTGACTCTTATGCACTTATTCCCTGAAAAAGTTTTGCATGTTTTATGTCCAAAGCTATTTATTATCTCAAGATTCAGATATTGCGTTCGCAATTTTCTTATAAATTGAGAGATAATCAAAATAGATGAAAAAAAAGACTGAGTATCTCAGTCTTTTATTTCATCTATCTTTTTAAAATTTCTTTACCTTACTCTGTGCCTTACCAAGATATAAAAGCCTATTGGCAAATGACAAAATATAGAGAATATGTAGAACAATATGTCCAGAATTCTAAAACAATTTTAAATGGCATTGATGCCACGATAGTTTCAATGGAATCCCATTTATGGTACCTTGATGAAACCTTAGACCATGATATTTCTGTTACAGAGAGAGAAGAAGTTGCGAAAATACTCTTCTCAAAACCAGTTCCTAAATTTTTTTGGCATTCCAAAAAATTAAATTTGTTAAACACTCTTAAGCTAGAAAAACCAACAAGTATTGCACAATTAGTGGGAGAAAACTCAATAGCGTTACTATTAAGTAAAATAAGTAAGTATGATCTCTAAGAAAATAATTATGTTTTAGCATGGTTTTTGCATACACTAACAAAAGTACAAACAAAAATACAAATTTTTTCTTGAAATGAATGCATTTTAAATTACTTTAATTTAACTTACTTAATGAAACCATCCTTAAACATTGCTTTTTTCTATAGCATGCTATAGCGTTATAGCGTGCTATAGCATTATTTCTTAAAGTGAAGAAAAAATTAATTATTATAAGCAAAATTAAAAAATAATTTTTCAAACATTTTAAAATGTTTGAAAAGAATTTTTTAATTTTGCAGAAATATATTATTTTTATTATTATTATTATTTATTGTACCACAACAAGCTATAGCTTGTGTAACCAATTCTGGTTGTGGTGGCCTACATAAAAAGTTACAAATTATTTTGAATTAAGTTAATTAAATGGGAATGAAGCCAATTTCATCATTAATCATCTTCAAGGTTTTCCGATTCGAAAAATTTATCTAATCTTGCTTTGAAACTATTTACAGTTGTGGCACTGATTATGTTTTTAGGCAATTTATTCCAAGTGTTCACCACACGATTTGTAAAAAACTGATGACGCTGTTCATTGTTTTTAACTAACTCTCTGACTAGCTTAAAGTTATGACCTTGCGTTTGACTTCAAATAAAATTCTTGGATAAGAGAGCGAATTTACGTTACACCAATTTACAATATCGAAGCCATTTATTATTTTAAAACATTGTATAAGGTCACCTCAAACTCTACGGTCAACAAGAGATTAAATACCCATAATTTTTAATCTTTTTTTGTAATTCAATTTTCTGAGTGATGGAATCAAACAAGTTGCTTGGTGTTGTACTTGTTCAATTAGAATTATGTCATATTTTTGGTAAGGGTTCCACGCCGGTATTGGGAATTCCAAATGAACGTCTCACAAACGCTGTAAACAATGTTTTGAGAAGTTTGCTATCCATATAGGTGAAAGTCCTGCTTAACATTCCAATTATTTTATTTGCTTTATTTGATGCATACATAACTTGACTATGATATTTCGTCTTACTAGATAAAATAATACCTAAATCCTTTTCATCGTTTGTACTGTATATACTAGTTATTTCATTTGCTATTGATGGAATTGTATAATTATGAAATCTAATCGAATTTATAGAATTAATATGTTTATTATAGTTTTTATTTTTTATTGTGCGATTAACAACGCCATTAATATTTTTATTAACTTATTATTAAATACTTAATAAATATGATATTATTTTTAAAAGTTTTAAAAAAAGAAATGTCAAAACAACTTTTATATTATTTTTAGCTCCATTTATTTTATTTAATTTTATTTGATTTTTTATCTGTAAATAAATTTAGCATAATAAATTAAAAAAAATTCATTATTTAGTATCAATGGATAGCAATTTACAACTGTTAGGTCATTGCATAATAATTATCATTATTTTGCGCGCACTTTGCAAATGTGTAAAAAAT